TTATTTTCGTCCGCCGCAGAAAGTGCTGCAAAATTTGAATTCAGCATTACCACGGCTACAGAATCAGTAACAGACACATAGCCGGTACTCACGTTCATGGGGAAGCGCTGCTGAAAAAAACGTTCTCCCCTTTTTCTTCTTCCCATTACTTCGTGGTTGCCCAGTAAACCGCATACGCTGGTGCCGTCTTTGCGGCAATTGTCAAGGAAAGCATCTACTTTTTTCCATTTACGGCGCGAGCTGCCCAGGCCTACTACATCGCCCAGCATATAAAGACTTTTGGGTTTGTCCTGCTCAATGGCCGCAAAAATACCAGCGGTTGCCGCCCTGTTATGATTGGGTTTCAGCACCAGTTTTTCCACAAACATGGGCTGCTGGGTATCGCTCACAAAATACAGTTCTGTGTCTTTGGCAACAGCCTGCTGTGCCAGCATTGACGCTGAACAAAATAACTGCACCAATAAAAATGGGACCATTTTTTTCATCTGCACAAATATTTTACCACTGTAAAAACTTCCATACCAGTTGCGCCTGTAGGCTGATGGCGGCATCTTTTGTCTCAAAAGAATTCATCCATTTTGCTTCGGTGGCTATCCCTACTGTCTTAGACAGGGGCTGGGTATATGACAGTGCAATATTCGTTCCCAAAACCCAGGCGCTGGACACTACTTTGCCATTGTAATTCAGCCGGGTGGTAAGGCGGTAAGAGCCTACACCTGCATAGATATTTACCCTTCTTACCAGCTGCATAGACCATACCACCAACACGGGTACTGCTTCCAGGCTCAAATTACCCTTAGTATTGCCATTGAGCACTTTATAAGAATAGAAATTGGTATAGCCGCTTTCCAGGCCTATACGGAGGCGGTAACGCGGGTACCACATCAGTCTTACCGTAGCAGCCGGGCTATAACGGTTCACGCTTCCTGCCAGTGCCGCAGGTTTTATTTTCACCGCCGCCAGGTAGTAGTTTAGTCCACCGCCTACCTGCAATACCAGCGATTTTTTGGGCTGTACCAGGCTGTCTGTTTTAACAATTGATTGTGCAAATCCAATGTTAATGAACATTCCTGTCAGCATCACTGCCAATAATAAAATGCGTTTACTGGTGTACATAGTAATTATAGGCTACGCAGGAAGGGAAGTTTGACAGCATGCCGTCAAAATGGCCTTCATTGATGTAGCGGTTAATAAATTCGGGCACGTCTACCGTCCAGATAAAAGCCCGCCGGCCGGCCGCATGCACCTGGTCTACCAGTGCATTTTGCGTACCTTCTGTAAAACGGGGCGCCCATATTTTAGCATTTGCTTTTTCTACGTCTTCCAGGGTTAATTCACAGAGCGAGGGGGTACTGGCATAACCCGGCAGTGCCAGGAACTGGTTAAACTGATCCTCTCCCGGTAAACCAATCACTATCTCCAGTTTTCTTCCTGCAGCAGCGGCCTTCTGCAGGTATTCGTTCTGTATGGCATGAATGGGCGCCAGCGAACCGATATACTTGGTATCCAGCCAGACAAATGTCAGTGGCGTTCTGTACAGTACGGCGTCCAGCGCTTCGCGCAGCGTGGGTATTCTTTCTCCGTGTACCAGCCGCACAAAAGTAGACAGCTGCTCATAAGTGTAGTTTTCTATCGGTCCTACCAAACCGCTTTTCTGTGTTTCGCGGAGGTTCAGGGTATTATCGTGGTAGAGAATGGGAACGCCGTCTTTGGTAAAGCGTACATCCACTTCAATGCCGGTAGAGCCAAACTCCGGCGTTTTTAGTATCATGGCTACCGAATTTTCAGATACCGGCAACAGGTCTGATGTGCGGCCACCTGACCGGTGTGCCAGTATATTAAAAGCCGGTGTACTGTTTAGTTTTCGTTTATAAGTAAGTGCTATGGGAATGGCCGGCAATTCCTGTCCTTTGCCATATGCACCACTGATGGAGATACTGCCGGGAGTAATGGCGGTACCAGCCTGCAGCAGTGTATCAGCACCTTTGTACCGGGCAATGGTTAAATGTATCAGTCCGGTTTCTGTACTTACCATTTTGCGCCAGTAACCGTTCAGCAATATGTCTCCGCGCAGCTGTTTGCCTTCACAGATAAAATAGGCGATGTCTTTGCCAAAAAAACCGGACACATGAAACAATGTATCCCCTCCCTTGATTGAATAGCTCCATTTGATGGCCGACTGTTCGCCCAAAAAATCCGCGCCTTCCTCCAGCCCATACACCCCTTCCATGGCAGTCCTGCTGAAAGCGGGCAATGCTGCTGCAGCGGGATCATTAAACAAATCCCATTTAGAGGCATCGGGCATTACCACTTCATAGGTTTTCTTGCAGGAGGCCAGTACTCCTAAACAGATGATGATACCTATAGCCAGTTTTTGCTTCATAGAATAAATGCTACTGTTATTTGCGGGTAGAATACTTTGCGGTTGGTTTTATAAAACAGGGCCCAGGTTTGCCAGTAGAAATAATTGTTGATGGTAGAAAAAGCCAGGGTTAAATGCTTTTTTCCATAAAAAGGCTGTTCCAGGGCCACGGTAAAGGTTTCGCCATTATAATAGCCGTCAGAAGATCGAAATTTATTTTCACCGTTGGCCGCTTTGTAAAACAGGTTGTACGATACCTGTGCCTTAAAACTAATCAGCAGGTTGCGCCTGGTCTTATACCCGGCTGAGATGCTGGTATAATTGAGCCATCCGGAAGCTGTGCTGTTAAAACCGCTTACTTTCAGAAACCCAAACCAATATCCGATATCATTACCGGCACGCAGGTAAAAATTGCTGTTAACAGGAACAGAAACATGCAGACCGGTAGAGAGGTGGTTCTGCAAAAACTGGAACATGATCCTGTTATCTGAAATAAGGTAGTTATTGATTCTTCTCAATACCCTGAAATCGCCGCAGGGGATGCGTAGCCGAACTTCTTCAGTAATATCTTCTGGCGTGGTTAAGAGGGTAAAACCCAGCGAACTCCGCCATTTTTCCTGGTACATGGGATAGGGAAAAAGGACGGCTGCATGCTTGGCTTTAAATGCCGAATCCTGCGCAATGGCAGGGCGGACCAAGATCAACAAAAATAGTAAGCTGTACAGCAGTCGGGCAGTTACCTGGGGCATGCGTTGGTTTGTACCTATAAATTTACCAAAATTCCTGCCGTAAAAGCTGTGTAAAATATTACACAGGCCAATATGTATCGTAGGTATTTTGAAATGCAGCCCCGGCAATTTTACGTGCCGCGGTTATCAGTGTAGCGATTACCCCAAAACAATTAACCCATGGCACGATAAATTGCTTCATGCTATTGGTGTTCATCAGGACCCCGCTCAACAGTGTTTATTAATAGTTAGCAGGGAATTGCTATTTTCAGGCTTTAAAGGCAGCCCATGACCATCAAAGAAAAAGTACAGGAAAAGGAAAAAGCGGTAAAGACATTGCTGGATGAACTCAGGAACCACCTGAACAGCAAACGCATTGAGTTTGATAAAGCACCCCAGTCCTGGGAATATATCAGCACCCTGGGCATTGCCGAAGGCAGGTTGAAAGAGCTGGTAGCGTATTTAAAGGAGACGGTATAGCTACTACCGTTTACTGAACAGGCCTTTTTTGAAGTTCAACCAAAATGGTTTATGGGGAGGCGCAAAGTTTTTTTTAAGCAGGCCGGAATTTTTGAAAGTTTGACTCAAAATTTTTAACGGAAGGCCAAAAATTGTTTAACGGAAGGCCCAAACTTTTTAATGGAAGACCAAAAATTGTTAACGGAAGGCCAAAAATTGTTTAACGGAAGGCCAAAAATTGTTAACGGAAGGCCCAAACTTTTTAATGGAAGGCCAAAAATTGTTAACGGAAGACCCAAACTTTTTAATGGAAGGCCCAAAATTGTTAACGGACGACCAAAAAATATCAACGGAAGGCCAAAAATTATAAAGTTTGGGCCGAAGATTTAAAATTTTCGACCCAAAATTTTGAATAGTGGGCCAGGGT